ATTTTCCATTTTTTGAGAAATGATTTTTTTCGAATATTAAATTAAATTTCTGCAATATCGAAAATCAAGCATTTTCGGACTATTCTAAATTCAGTGAATGAATAAAATTGTTTAAAAATGCTTTAGCTTATTTATATTCAATTTTCAACGAAATCGAATATTCTAAATGACGAATTTGAAAATATGCGACGTGATGATCTTTTCCATCAATTGTAGGAGGGTGTGAGTATTCTATTTTATTCATACCCAAACTCAATATATCTCAGCTTCAGTAAATGATAAAACCTTGAGTTTGTTCGGAAAAGATCCGTCGTAAAAAGCTCTAGAAAAACTATGTAAATATATCCCTATTAACTTGTTCAGATGGATATTGCTATATTTGAGATAGAAAAGTTCCATGATTGTGATTACTTCTGAGCGTATTAAACTCAATAAAAATGGTTGGAAAACTTTTGTGTTTTGCATATATCTCGACTTGAGAAAACGATAACATTCTCATTTGTTTCTCTAAAAAGAAGTGCTCTTGAAAGCTCGACAAAAGTTGTATGAAAAAATTCGTGGTGCAGAACAAAGACACCTTCCAAATATTTTTATTGTACTCAATACGGCAGAAAGTAACGCGCGCTATCATGTAGAGTGTTCATTTGATGTATAGAGTAAACCATCAAAATAAATCAATTAAGCATTTACTTATACATCTTTTCAGAAAAAAATTAAGATTTTCTCATTCACTAAACTAGGCTGAATATGTTGCAAATACTTTGAGACATCTTGCAAAATTGTTTTTTCGTCGAGTCGTCACCACTTTTGCTGTGCTGTTAATACTATGCTATCAATTAAAGAATGTTGAGATAGAGGTAAAATTGAAAAACACTGTTTGCATTTTCCTTATATACAACGTGAAAATTATATCGAGCTTTCTACAAAGTATTATAATAATGACGCGACTACTTCGGGTATACCCTAAATACTTGAGATTCAATATCATTTCCTAACAGTATTTAACATTTTTTCTTCTAGTACAAAATTTTTTTATAACATGAATTAATTAGAAAAATGAAAAAGGAGAAGAAGTATAAATGTGTATTGAATATATCATTGCAATTAAGCTGATTATAAACAGTTTAATCACAGTTCTCAGCATGTTCAAAACTCAGTTCCATGTGTTCTATCAGATATTCTCATTGAGTTCACACTTTTTAGATAGTTTTAACATATTGGGTTTAAAATTAGTACTAATTTGAGATTTGCCATGTCCTGACACAAATACATTAGTCAACATTGTTTCATAATAATTCTTCGCATGTTTCTACAAATATAATCATAATATCGACAGATCTCATATGATAAAAAAATGAGAAAAGCTTGTCATTTGTTTTTAATCTAATTGAATCTAACATCAAACAGTTTTTATTTACTTTTTGCTTTGAGTTAAAAAGATAGCAGACAAGATGATATAAAAGAATAATATTTATACAAATATAATGACTAATTTTATTATTATCATTTAAAACATCAACTATGAATTTCTATTATTAAAAAACGATTATCTTTTACATTCTCATAAATTTCTCTTTCTGCAAAGGTTAGTTTATTCTAATTAAATAATTTCGAAGATTTTTTATATAAAGAATAAATGAATGTTTGATGTCTTGTTATTTAGAAAATAGATTATTAATACATGGAAGAGATTCAACTCCTCCGTATTTTTCCTGAGTCCTTTCTTTTTAATTAACTTATTTTATTCTTTTTATATATTAGTTCTTTGATGTTTCTGTTTGTTCTCTCACTTAATTATGTTATTTTTATTGTTAGTTTTTTTCTCGCTTATCATCTGTACTGTTAGGTCCTAATAGTCATTAGTTAATGCGAAAATAAAAAAAAATAGATTATTAATCGAATATATCGAAAAATATAGAACATTGGAGTCGCTATAATGCTCGACAAGGTACAAGATGGAACTAAAGCAATTATCTATATTTTAATTTCTAACTCATTAGTATACATATTGTATCGTAGGTAAATGTTGTTATTAGCATTAACTTAGAATATAAATTAATATGTTGAAAAGGATTAGTTATTAAAAATGGATATTGTATTTATTTATCTATTCTTTTTAGTTGTATTTATATACGATTCATTTGATTATTAGAATAACAATCATATTTAAACATGTCGCTTCCTGCTGTTGTTACTTTTTGGCTCTATTTAATCTTTCTAATTCCGTCGATTATATTTTGCATCTTCTGTCTTTATTATTTTCTTACCGACAGTAGATTCCGTAAAGCTCTTTATAATCATGTCTTTGTGATTATTCTTTTCTTTACTTTATTTTATGAATTAACTGATATAATCTGGTTTATTTATTATTCTCACACTGGAAGAGCATTATCATCAACACCTATGTTTTGTCTAATATGGATATATGTTGATTATTCTGGATATGTGACGATACTACTTTTGATGAGTTGGGCAGCAATTGAACGACATATTCTTATTTTTCATCAGAATTGTATGGCAACATTAATGAAGCGTTTTCTTTTCCATTATTTACCTTTGATTGTCTTTAGTATTTATCCATTTATATTTTATTTCGTCGTGTTTTTTGTGATGCCATGCGATGTTCCATTCAATTATAAAAAACAACGATGTGGCCATGGTTTTTGTCTATTTAACAATACATTAGTTGGCACATGGGATGCTATAGCAGATTATATTGTGCCTGCATTTATTACTATTATATTGAGTATAGCTTTGATTATCCGTGTGTGGTACATTAAATATCGAAATGGTCAAAGATTTCATTGGAAAAGATACAAAAAAATGACAGTTCAATTGATATCGATATCTTTTCTCTATTTTGTTCTATATTTACCATTTCTGATCTTGAATACTGCGTATACAGCTGGTCTATCAACAGATATTGGCTTTGATTTCTTTGGTACTAGTGCCGATCTTTCATACCTCATTGTATTGTTCATACCCTTTATGTGTACTATTTCATCACCTGAGCTTCGAAGAAAATTTCAAAAAATCACACGGACATGTCGGCGATCAAGACGTATTGTTAGTCCAGAACCATTACCTGTGTATCATTTGAGGCGTGATCGAGTAGTCAAGCGAACATCTAGTATTCACTAATTCATTACTATTCTACTTGCAGTATCTCTTATTATGTACTTTTCAGATCATTTTATCATTGTTTTACCCTGTTATATTGTATAGTTTGTGAGTTTTTTATGTTTAAAATTTGAATTCTCGTTTATTTATCAAGAATTCAATTAAATATATATCTTACTACGAGCACTTTATTTCAGTCTATAAATAATGATGATAGTTTGAGGATGGGTGTGGGAAAACAGTACGACTAGTTCTATAACACTATACGATTTAAAGTTTTTTTAAGCAAAAAATGAGCATTGACTTACAGAGAATCACTGTGTTGTTCATATTGATGTATCAATGGTATTTAATGCACGCATACTGAGATAATACATTGTACTTTCTATTATCAAATTTATTATAGCACCATAATACTTAAGACCATCGAAAACGAAACCTGCCAATCGATTAGATAAATGAACTGATGGTCACACTTCGAGTTTATCCATAGTTAGATGAAATAGGTAAAAATCTTATGGGTTTGCAACGTATCATAATCTTTTCTTCAAAGGTCGACGTTAAACAGAGACCGAAACGAAGCGGGGATTCGGGGCGGGGAATCGAGGCGGGGAGCACTTTTGGCGAGGCGGGGCGAGGCGAAGGAAGGTTTTCAAAGTGGCGAAGCGAAGCGGGGAAAAGATGCAAAACGCGAGGCGAGGCGAGGATCAGTTCTCAAACCCGACATTTCCTCGACTTAAAATTTTATCGAAATTTTGTCAAAAAAAGCACTAAATACACAAAAAATCATGCTATTTGTTAAGTGTATAAATATGATAGATGTCTTTATATCTCAAAGTTGTTATTACAACAACTTAAGACGTGTATTAAAATACCAATCATAGACAACTAATGGCAACTATTAGTCGTGATTTAAAATCTATTAGATCGTATAGTTAATTCATCATGATAATATGAATTGCTGATATTATTATATATCATTAAGGTCAAATATAACGTTATTTTCTTTATTCAGTTTTCTAAATATTTATTTTTTATGTTGTAATTCAAGTACTATGAAGAATGCTAATTGTTTTTCCTTATTTTAATTATATTTTTAAACAATTGTTAGTCAGAGACGTTCTAATATGGATCCATCTACTCTAAATGATATTTTATTTTTACGGTCAATTGAGAATAATAGAAAAAAGAATTGATTGATATTAAAAGTTAAAAATTCTTTTCTTGTATATTTCTTCTTGGAATTTTTCAAATATACAATAAAATAAATTATATTTCCAAATGAAAATAATTATTTTTGTAGACGAAGCGAGGCGAAGCGAAGCGGGGAGAGCCTCTGTCGAAGCGAGGCGAGGCGGGGTGGACTCTTCTCGGGGCGAAGCGAGGCGGGGTGAAATTTTCCCGGAGCGAGGCGAAGGATGAGAAATCATCCCCGTTTCGGTCTCTGACGTTAAACTAATAGAATTTTCCAACATGTTTTTAAAGATTATTACATATTCCTTTGCATATCACACAACTCACATAATATTTAGATTTGCTGGGAGAAATTCATTTCTAACATATTTTTTCTCGCTGACTGTCTAAACATGAGTTTTTCTATATCGATATAAACTAGGGAAAAGAAAACAGTGAAACACAATTAAGTGAAAGGATTTTCGACCTGAGAATCGAAGCAAAATGTACTTCTGTTCATATTTTTTAATAATAGATGTTTGCTGAGAACTCTTTGAGTGAACATATTTTCAGATCAAACGATTAATAAATATAAAAACATAATAATAATATTATTAGTATTAGGTTTTTATATATGTATTTTAATGCTGTTATATAAAATTGTCAACACGGGATATTCCTATGTGTGATCATGCTATATTTGATAATTAAATAAGATGTATTATGGTTTCCTTGAGATGAGCAGTAAACGAATGATCAGGTGACAATTTATCGATGTAAATCTTCAATGCACGTTGATAGTTTTCAATGGCTTCTCCAATACGTCCAAGTGTCCGCAGACTATCACCAATTTTTTCATATACAACACCAATGTCACGATGATCAGAAGGTAGCAGTTTCAGACGAGCTGACAAAGCCCGTCTATACCAAACGAGTGCCCGACGAAAATATTTTTGTTCCTGATTCAAGTTACCAAATTGTAAAAGATATTCGGCTTTATTAAGATGATTTTTCGGAACAGTTACTGACATGATATCGAATGCGACATTCAAACATAGTCGAGCACATTCGAATTGCTTCACATATATAAAGACACGGCCCAGTTGCATGAAATTCCAGCCATAGTCAAAATGACCTCGAGGAAGGAGTTTTAATCGTATGGAAAAAGCTTTAAATAGACATGTCAAAGATAGATCGTATTTTTTGATTGTCGTATAAATATTACCCAAATTGTTATAAGCTAAAGCACGTTTTGGATGATCTGGATGTAAATGAATCTGGTCACAGATAATTAATATTTGTTCAAAAGTTTGAATTGCTTGATCATATTTTCCTTGATCTTCTAAAACAGAAGCTATGTTATTGAGCACTGGAATGGACTCATAATGTTCATAATTCGGAAATAATATTTTTCCTTGCTGCAATGCCTTTTCATATGTCTCATAAGCTTGATCAAAATTTCCTTGAAGACTACAAATAAAGCCTAATCCATTTAATACTCGCATCATATCAATTGATCTCGAATGTGGATTCGTTTGAAGTTCATCAAAAGCGAACTTAAAGAACTTCTCTGATAGATCATATTCGCCTAACACTGAACAAATTCTACCCATATAATAATAAGCATCTGCTGTTCGTTGATATTTGACAAGATTTTCAAAAAAGTAACGTGCTTTAATAAATTCACCAGTTTCTATTAGAAGTTGCCCATAGAGAACTTCAATGGACTTATCTTTTTTAAGATCCAACTGATTGAAATCAATAAATTCATTAGCTACTGAACTACCATCAACAGTTGCTTTCAGTTGAACGATCCAATAGATCTCTTTCGAATCGCATTTCACTGATATGACTTTAAAAGTCATTCCTAAATCAAATAACACTTCTTTTTCATCGGGAAATTGCGATTCTTCTGAAATATCAGCCATAACAATCGATGAATCAACTTCAATTTCATAGATAACTGATATTTCATTGTCATTTAGCTCTTCATTAATACCACCAAAAAGTTCAGCGATGTGTCGACTTTTTGAACAAGACAAAAATCCATTTAGAGCAATAACATTTCCAATATTTTCTCGTAATCGCCGTAGAACAATTTTCATCTCACGACTACCTCGATATACAATAACTGAGGATGTTCGTTTTTCTTTTTTCCACAATGTACGCATCAGGTTGCTCATATCACGAATAAATAATCGATAATTAAACAGCTCAATTAGATCTTCAGTACGTAGAGCACGATTGACGATACGATAAAGTTGAAGATCACTTCTTGAATACCAATAAATCGCTTTCGATGAACAATAATCTTGTTTGAATTGCTCGATATGACGAAACTGACATTCATTACCAAAGCAACGACGATAGAGTTGATTAATAAGATCATGCCATGACAATGGATCGTTATCAAACTGAATAATTAATTGTTTAAAAAGTTGAAACCAAATAAATTTATTCTTCTCTTCATTATTTTTTTGACATCCAATGGCACGGATGGTCTTTTGAAATGGTCCATAATATACCCATGATAAACGCAAACGATATCGATATAAATAAACAAACTGAACGAGTTTCCTTTGAAGTTCTTTTCGTTGAGTAACTATGCCAATTACTTTATCATATTTGTTTATCTTAATATTGACGAATGAATTTATCCTGTTTGAATAAAGAAAAATACCACAAATATGTTTATTTGTATGTGTTTGTGCTAGAAATTTTGACGAGCATGAATCTCAAACAATTAATACAAAACTTAGATCATTTACTGATGAATTCAACATTTGTCTGAGAAACATGTAAAGGGCACTTTCTTTTTGAAAATATTTAGTCGTTTTCAAATATATGTGCCAAGTTTTACACTGGAACAAGCGTTGTTTACATCGATCAAACCACAAAAGAAACGGACCTTCTTTTTCATGGAAATCTTCGTACATTTGTTGAAGTATTATACAATGACGGACTATGTTATACGTGTTTTGATTAGTCTGATATACACGTAAGGTGTGAATGACTACTTTCCATGTGCGTGTCTATGATTAAAAAGTAAGCTTTTCTATTAAATATATCATCGAACCCATACAAAATCGATCGTTCTGTCAATATCTTACCTGTATGTATGAGACTAATGTAGAAAACATGAGATTTAATGTAATATAAATAAACGAACTAAATGTATAGTAAATGTAATGAAAATCTTCTTTTAAGAATAAATTCAGTATTAAGATCCAACTATATGAATTTATTGAGGGTGTGCATATAAAAATAATAAGATACTCTCACTCACACCCGTCCTCAAGATATGGGAAAAAATCGATTATACTTTTACGTGAGTCACGATTTCTACTTACACAGGTTGGCAATTACTTTATTTTTTGCAACCAGAGCACGTTTCAACGAAGTTAAGAAAGACGAAAATGAATAAATCTGATGAATGTTGGAATCTTTGTATGTCGTTATTGCATCATTTGAAAAATATAGAAGTAGATGATTAATAGAGAAATAAAAAGAGAAGATGTGGATGTTGGTGGGTGAGGCTGTGAATGAGCGTTAGCTTAGTATAATATTCACACCCTGTTTCCCCTTTGTCCTCATCATTTAATTTTGACTAATTTAAATCCATTTGATTCCATATGAATTGTTTTTCTCTTCCTTGCAGTAACATTTCTTGTATGTAGTCGATCTGGAATGTCTTCTTCTCAATGTATGTACATTCTTTCGCAAGAAAATGCGTCACTGGGAAAAAAGAAAAAATGCTACAGCTATTGTTACTTTATAAAAGAAACAAAAAGAATTATTCCGCAAAAAGAACACACAATCACGTATACATAATACATCATTCGAAATTTACAAAATATTTCGATTTTTTCAAATTATTTCATGTGAACAATTTTATTCTGGTAAGTTTTATATTAAAACCATTTGAAAAGAGCCAAACAAATCACTCTGTTAGTCAGATATAAATCTTAAATTTATAATTGAAATATTCAAAAGAACTGAAGGATATTGAAAGTCGAATATTAACATTTTATGTTACTCTTAAGAATTTCAAATCGTAAAAATATATCGATAATTTCAGTCTTATGATCTATTGAAGATCTATTTGAAAAGATAAATCTTGAATGTGTGTGTGTATACGCGGGTGTGGATTTGTGTGCTTCATCTATATCCACAACTTCCATCGTATTACCATGTTTCTTGAGAAACTTTTGTATTTTTCTAAACCTTTTTAGTTGCGAAAAAAATGTGTAGTGTCGCTTGCATATAAATTTTTTATAATGAGCACGATAGATAGGGTGTGGATGTGGGTTTGTGCTAGTATTGAATACCCACATCCACACCCTCACCAGCATCCGCACCCACACCCTTTTGTGAACATTGCAGTTTCGCTCTTATTCTCTCTTTCAATGAAACAAATCAAAAAGCGCTCGTTGGAAGATAAATCCTATCGAGTCGATCTGAAACCTGATAAGATTTAGTTGGGAATAGGATGCAATTATAACATGATTGCCTTTAGATTACCACCTAGATCGTTTGAGAGACATGTAATATGTACTGATTACCGAAAAATCCAACGGAAAAATTGTGATTATCTTCAATACAGCTACTAGTGTGAATAGGAAAATTTCTTCGAAATTATGAAGAGTACAGATCCGCATGTTTCTGTGAATGCAAGTATTCCGACGTCAATTGCAAATTTTTTTCCAATTGATACTGATCTGACACACCAGAAAATATTAGTTGGATATATGATGCATTAGCCGTATTTTATTTCAAACAGCATATCATAGAAAATTCTACAAAAAATGATCGAATCGTCTCTATATCCAACATGTTTTGTCGCTCCTGCTTCCATATGAACCAGAAAGCGGAATTATCCCTTTCCAAAGCAGAAAAAAATTAACAACCCTATATATCTACTATATTTATCCCTTATTAATATATAACTATATAATTAAAGTCAAAAAACCCAACAACAGCGCTAAATAACCAAAAAATACGAAAAATGACAACAGGCGGCGGTACAGCAGGAGCTCCAAGCTATCCAATGGCTTCATTATATGTTGGCAAGTTTGAAATATTATTTTTTATTCTTCTTTTTATGTTAACAAAATTATTATAAATAATAGGTGATCTTCACCCTGATGTTACTGAAGCTATGTTATTTGACAAGTTCGCAAGTGCTGGACCAATTCTATCAATTTGTGTTTGCCGTGATATGATTACACGACGATCACTTGGCTATGCTTATGTTGATTTTCAACAGCCAGCTGATGGTATGTTGAAATTCAATTAAAAACTCGTAACTCAATTAATTCTTTTTTCGTTGCAGCCGAACGAGCATTTGATACAATGAATTTTGATTTACTTCGTGGCCGTCCATTACATATAGTGTGGACTCAGTGTGATCCAGCTTTACGTAAATCAGATGTTGGAAATGTATTTATTAAAAATTTGGACAAAAATATTGATAACAAATCACTTTATGATGTATTTTCAGCTTTCGGCAATATTTTATCATGCAAAGTAATTTATGGTGGTTTTTCTTGAAACAAAATTATATCTATTTTCTATTTTTATAGATTATGACAGATGAAAATGGCCAATCGAAAGGTTTTGGTTTCATTCATTTTGAAACTCAAGAAGCAGCTGATAATGCTATTAATAAAGTTAATGATACGTTATTAGCTGACAAAAAAGTCTATGTTGGTCGCTTCATGTCTCGTAATCAACGTGCTGATTTTGGTGGACAACGTAAATTTACAAATATATTTATAAAAAATTTTGGCGATCAATTTGATGAAGAAAAATTACGTGATCTTCTTTCAAAATATGGCAAAATTCTTGATTTAAAAGTAAACTATTGCGAAGAACAAAGAGTTTTTTTGAATTAGGATATCTTTTTTTTCTCTGAAAATTCAGATTGAAAGTGATGAAAATGGTCATTCAAAAGATTTTGGTTTTTGCAATTTTGAAAATCCTGAAGAAGCAGAAGATGTAAAAGAAATATAAATATATAAATCTATGTTTAATATTGTTTCATTTTTTTCCTCAGGCTGTTCAAAATTTAAATGGATTTACAGTAGGTGATAAGCAACTTTATGTTGGTCGACTTCAGACGAAAAATGAACGATTAGGTGAAATTAAACGTAAAAAAGATGCACAACGTCAAGAACGTATGAATAAATATGAAGATGTCAATTTATATATTAAAAATTTGGATGATACTATTGATGATGAACGATTAAGAAAAGAATTTTCAAAATTCGGAACAATTACTAATGCTAAAGTAAAATAATTAAAAAAATTGATTGAATTTTTTTATTTATATATTTTGCTTTTATTTAGATCATGTCAGAAAATGGTCGTTCGAAAGGTTTTGGTTTCGTATGTTTCAGTGCACCAGATGAAGCAATAAAAGCTGTAACAGAAATGAATGGTTCAATTGTTGGTTCGAAACCACTTTATGTTGCATTAGCTCTACGTAAAGAAGAACGTCGAATGCACTTAACAAATCAACATATGCAACGAATTGCTACATCACGTGTTCCACCACAAATGCAATTACCATTTCCAAATGAAATGGGTGGTATAATGTCCTATTTACCAACACCAATGGGTCCATCACAACCACGAAACTTCTTCCCACCAACAGCTATGCTAACTTATCGACCAGCCCAACCACGTTGGTCATCAACTGCAACTGCCGGTAGTATGAGACCACAAGGAGGTCCTCAAATGATTGGCATGCAAATGCAACAATCAGCTATGGCTGCTCAACGATCAGCTGCTATGGCTAATGCTGCATCTCGTCAAGGTATGCCAATGGAAAATCGACCAACACCAGCACCAGGACAAATGATGGGAGCTAATTCTATTCGACCACAAGCCGGTGTACAACAACAACCAGCAACAGCTTATACATGTACAGCACGAAATAGGCCACCTAATGTATATATTAAATAAAATAATCAGATTAGATTAAAAAAATATTGATATTTTGTTTCAGAATCCTGATGAATTTTCAAATTCAGTAGTTGTTGCTGATCAAGAACCATTGACATCAGCCGCGCTTGCTAATGCAACACCACAAGAACAAAAACAAATGTTAGGTGAACGTCTATTTTCTTTAATGCAAGGTATGAAACCAGATTTAGCTGATAAAATCATTGGAATGCTTCTTGAACTCGATAATATTGAACTTCTACATATGCTCGAATCACGTGAATCACTTACAGCGGAAGTATGTTGATATTTTGAGTAGAAAAAAAACTGAAGATTTTTTTCATTTTGAATTATTAGGTTGAAGAAGCAATTGCTATACTTCAAGCTCATCAAGCTAAACAGACGTATGCAGCTAAAAAAAAGCTGCTACATAAAAACTATTAACAAATTAAGCAAATACATTGACACATGCACACACAGACTATCTTTTTATGTTCTTTCGGTTTCATTTTTCATTTCATACGCAGTTCGATTATCTTGACGCATTTTGTTTTGTTAACTTTCGGTTTTCTTCTTCTTTAGTTTCGTTTATTATTACGTATTGTTGTATTTTATACAAATGTATGCACATTATTACCATCATCATCATCATCACCGACTGTTCAGTAAAGCAGATCAAACATATCTATGTATGCGTGTCTGTATTTGAAAAGACAAAATAAAACGAAAGAAAACCCTTCTTATCTTAAATTCTTTTTCTATTGACGATATAAAACTTATTCAACGATCATTGAAATAAAAAACGGGACAATAAGCTTAGTGTTTCAATGAGTTCGAACCATTGTTCCTTTTCTTACATGTATCAAGTGGAAAATAAACGTGCGTATGTGAAAAGATTAGGAAGTGGGTGAGAGATAGATTCTATACCTACCCACACCCACACCCACACCCACACACACACTCAAGGTGTACGTATGAATATGAGCGAGAGACTATGCAAAAAAACTGTTTCTAACCAACATTAACTTATTTGACTTGATCCATAAAGTCCTAGTGACGTATTAAAATGCAGTCAATACACAATACTATCATGACTTCAATGTACTTCTGCATCTTGAGAATGTGAGGGTGTAGGTAAGATGACACCTTTACTCAGATCAATCCACCCACCCGCGCGCGAATCAATTTCAGATGAAAATGTTCTAAAAAACTTCGATTTTGTTTCTTAATTACACTTTATTGGTCATAAAAATAGATTGTGTCATGCAATATGCATTTTTCAACTGGATGAGCATTCGTTGTGATGAATCAAAATTTTAAATACAAAAATCCATTTTAATAATTAATTAAAAAACTGTATAATTATCGTAGAAAATACATTGATGTACATTCAGCCAAAAAAAGAAGCTCAAATGTATGGAACGAAAAATAAATAAATAAAATTAAAGTTAATTGATTTGAATTTATTTCATCTGTCGAATAAATCGAACAATACGTCGTTGATTTTGAAGTAAATGATCTGTTTTATTTGATAATAAAATTTGTTTATTTCGACGTTGTTTCTGTCGTTGAGAATAAATAGGTGGAAGAGGTTTATAAGGATTTTGAATATTCTGAGATGCAGATATTGGTCGAGCTGTTAAATCAGCAATAGCACCATCATCAGGAAGACTATTATTATAAGCTGTTGGTTCTGACTGAGTAAAAGGATGCATATTAGTAGGTCGTTGATTTTGCGAATATGGAATAGGTGCAGTTACACGTTTTTCAATTTCTTCAAAAGCTATAGGTGGAGAATGTAGTGATCGAGATACATTTCCATTAAGAACACCTATTCAAAATAAAATATATACTTAAATATACACAAGATTTTTTCTTTCTAACCGTTTTTCTTCAATGCAAGTAGTTGTTGACGAGCTGCAATTAATGCATCTTTCAGCTGTTCACGTTCTGTACATTCTCTATGAACAGTTTCTTGTAAAGTCATCATCTAAATCAAGATTTGCGCATATTATTTTGTACTAAAAACGTGTATTGTTAAATGTCACACAAGAAAATTAAGAACTTTCCTGAATAGATTTTTTTACTCTTAATTAATTCAAATATTTTCTTAAAACTAACTTTATCTCTGAATAATCGAGATTTGAACAAACATGTTAAGTGTAAAGCGTTTTTTTTGCAACACACATTAATTCTATATAAATACTTCTTCTTGTGCTTGTTTTATATCTTTTTTTAATTCATTTATTGTTGATTGTGCTTGAAATAGATTTGTTTCTTTATTCAATAAATCTTCTTTTAATTTTAAATTATTCACATGATCTTTATCCATTGATTCTTGTTTTTCTATATTAAAATGAAATTTATATAAATTTTTAAAAAACCGAAATTCTATTCTTACTAATTTGTTCATGTAATTCTTTTACAAGATCTCTTAATTTATCTAATTCTTTTTTTAAATTATCTTTTTCTTTTTCAAGTTGTTCAATTTGTTTTGTATAATAACGTCGGTGTTCCATAGTGACTTTTTCAGTTGATATTAATTCATGACGTAATTGTTCATTTGAAGAACCCCGTTCATGTTCATATTTACGTAAAAGTCCATCATATTTTTGTTTTTCAATATTTAATTCCTAAAAAAATAAATAGATTGTATTTATATTAAATAAAGAAGGATGTACGGTAACAAAATTTTCTTTTAGACGACGTTCGAATTCATTCATTTGTGTACGATGTTGTTCACGTTCACGTTTTAATTCTAATTGAAGACGATCAGGCCATTGTTCAGCTTCACGTAATTTATTTGAATAACTATCATGAAGTTTTTTTATTTGTATATCCTGTGTAATATGTAATGTTTCTTGTTGTTTAGTTAATTCAACATTTTCATTATGTAGACGTTGAAGTTCAGAACGATTTTTTTTTAATTCTACTGTTTTATGCGAAAAAAAAATTATGTATGAAGAAAATCTTTTTGTTTTTTTTCTCACAAGTATCTTTTTCTCGTAGAGGAACAAGTTCACGATAGACTTCATCAAGATCAGTATATTTTCGTAAGAGTTTTTCATATTCATCACGTGTACGATCGAGAATAGCTTGTCGTGATCGATTCGTTTCATCGATTTTTCGTCGAGTATTTGATTCATTTATTTGAAATTCTGTTTTCATTGAATTTAATTGTTCATATTCAGTTGTTAATTGAAGAAGTTTTGAACGTAGATTTTCTAATTCTGTCTCATTTTCTTTTTGGAAAAGAAATAAAGATAAAAATTTAATTTTAACGAAAAGAAAAATAATACTGACTTACTTAATCGAAGTTCTTTTTCAATTGTAAGTTGTTGTCGATATTGATCAATATCTTTTTGTGCACCATTTTTATCGGATAATTGTTGTTCTAATTCATGAGAATATTGTTTACTTTGCTGCAATGCATTTTGTAATTGTGTTTGAGTTTGTTCATATTGTAAAATTTGTTTATGTAAACGAGATAATTCATCCTGATGAATTTTTATTTCTTTATGAGCAGATTCGAGATCAATTTGTGTTCTAAGAAAATAAAATGGATAATCTTAAAAATTAATGAAGAAAATATATTTATACAATGAATGAGATTTTTTGGATTCAGATTGAACTTGTTGGTATTTTGTTTGGAGATCATGGAGAGATTGATTTATTTCTCTAAAGAAAAAAAGGATAAGATACATTCATTTCTCGTATAAATCACATTGAAGAGAAACTTGTATTTCATAAGAAAATTTGAATGTTGTAGATAATTTCGGTTTACTGTCCCTTCGCTAATACAACTTCCATGAATTGCCGACAGTCTTATTAGCAAAATTCGAGAATCAGTGGCGGATTTAGGAAGGCGATCGCCCCCCCCTTCAGAAAATTTTTTCGATTTTTTACAGCAAAAATAGGTTCACACTACTTCGATTGGACTCAAAAAATAGTTTTTAGCCAAAATCGCCCCCTCCTCCCTAGGTATCGCTCCTTCCTACTAAAAAATCGGCCTCTCTCCCTTCCAAAATCCTAGATCCATCGTTGTAGACTTAGCTAATATCAAAGATGTTTTTCTTCATACTTGAGCTGTTGTTTATATTGTTCCGTTTCAGTTTGTTGATCATTTATTTGTTTTGTAAATTTAGTCATACTTGTTTGCAATTCTATGTAATAGATAATCCAAGAAACATAGCAGTAATTAAATTCTGCTACCTTTTTGTAATGTATTTTCAGTAGTTTGTAAATATGTTTTCCAATTTTGAATATCTTTTGAATAGGAATCTTGTAGAAGTAAATATTCTTTTCGAATATTTTGTATTTGATTATGTGTAACTCGAAGATTAGATGAATATTTTGAAATAGAAGATCTTAATAAATAAATAAATGAAATAATTCTATAAAACTATAATAAAAATATTTACTTAGTTTTTTTATGAGCATTTTCTGATTCTTCTAATTGATCTTGTAATAATTGAAGTTTTCTTGACATTTCATTGAGTCTACATAAATAAAATTTAAATTTGAGTAAACTTCTACTTGATTTATCTACTTATGAGTATTTATAGCATTTATTGATTCAAGATCAGAAATACGTGTCTGTTCAGTTTGTGATGTTTGTTTTAAATTCGTTTCACGTGATTTTTTACCAGTATGATAAGCTAATTCTGTTTCAAGTTTTTGACATTTTGCTTCAAGTGTTTTTATTTCATTATGAATCAAATATGAAACACCACAAAATTTGCAAAGAGTATCTTGTTCAGACATATCTGTAATATCATTAGATAAAGGAAATTGTGGTGTATATCGTTCAAAATGTTCTTCTTTTGGCATGTCTACAAACAAGAATAAGATAAATTTACAATCTTTATGATCGTTAAATTAATTTTTATCTATCAACAACAACAACATGAACAATTTTTTTTTTCAAATACAACATAAAATAGATGTTTATTATTGCCAAAATGGCGCAGTTTGCGGACGTTCCATACGACGATTTGTCGGTGGACATTGCGAAAGTGTTTTTCTCATTGAATCACCTTGACCTTTAGCGAAATTATCAACACCATCAAATTTTACTTTTGGTGCTGTTCGAGCCGATTGTTGTAATTTACCATACCGATGAAAAAGTTCATTAACATGATGTCCTTGACCCATATCGTAATTTAAATGAGCTTGTTCTCCTTTAAGATTTAGTTCTGAAATTGGTACATGACGTTTAATACCATGCTCAAGTAATTGAGAATCTCCTCGACCCTTTTCACGATTCATTTGTGCAGCTAGACCTTTAACATGAGGAGGTACTGATCTTGGTGTAGCAGATGAACGACCATAATTATTTAATATAGGACCCATTTGACCTTCTTGATGTAAATAATAAAGATTTGTTGCTACCTAAACATAAGATTGATAATAAATTTGAAGTACAAGACTAGATTTGTTTTTTTAAATGAAATTTACTTCTCCTTGTATATGAGGTGCTGGTTGTCTTGGCAAGGGTAGTTTTCCATAATTTTCTTGCAATGTTTTTACTTGTGAATCATGATTTTTATTATAATTAGCTTGACCTTCTCGTTTTACACGCATACCATGATGAGAATCGGGTGGTTGAACATCTCCATAGATAAGATTTGGTGTTGAACAACGACTTTTATTATAATTTCGTAAAGCCTCAGATCCTAATACTTTTGGTTGCACTAAATTTGATTGCTGATTATCTGATAATATTGTTGCCGTTGTTGACATTCGTCTACCTTCAATAGCCCAATCACCAATATTTAAACTTCCACGATTTTTAACATAATTTTTAACACCTTCATGATTAACACGAAATGGTGGTGCTTCTTCATAATTTGGTAATGTTGATGTAAATGTTCTTGGATATGAAGGAAGAATCCAATTAGCTGATTCAGAAGATAGAGTTGTAGTCATATTGCAATAAAAAGACCTACTTATGCTTGTAAATGAAACATAATGAATATTTTACGTATGTTTGTTGCTAAGCAATGTCCAATATGAATGAATAAATTTAGATCTTATTTTTTTTTAATTTTTTTTATTAGAAATTCAAATAATGATCCTAATCATATCTAAATTAGAGTTTACAGTTATCAATGCGAGATTATAGATGAAACTCTATCGTCTGACTTTCTATTGGTTGATATTTTTATATATAAATTAGTCATAGAATTCAACAAGTAGGTCGGTCGATGACTGAACTTTGATAATTGAGTTTACACGTTTCTTATCATAATATTGTTTGAAAACTTATGAGTCAAAGGATAAAGGTCAATTCATCATTCACTTGAAACACCACGATCTCTTTGCGGATTGGTTTATTAGTTGAAAATGAGTTTTTTTGACGTGTAAATGTGTACGTGTTCAAGTTAAATTTTCACTGTATAAAAGGAGAACATATAAAAATTTCTTTAAATATATCAAGTAAGTATAGAATTCGATCGTATCCAGTTGCTTTTATTTGAAAAATCTCATAGAATATCATTTTTATGTAATCAATTCTTTCTTCTTCATCGGTTTTTTTCTAAACATCATTATTTATTCAAGTATATCTCTTTTGACTGTCCATAATCTGTAAAAGATGATTATATCATAAAACTGGACATAACAGAGAAAATAACTAATAGATTTTTCTTTTTTTTTTCTTCTTTCTGCATGTATTCTTCTCCTTTGTATTCTTCTTCTTCTTTTCATCTAATCTATATATGTACGCTTCGACTAATACTAGCTAATAGTAAAAACATCGACATGTCGGTTTGCGAACAAAATGCCGATATGAGAGAGGGGGAAAAACGAGAAAGAGAGGTAAGAAAATACTCCGTCCGCCGTGATAAGATGGTAGGTTATTCTCGTACGAATTATTTTTCTTCTCTCTTACTATCGAATTCTAGTCGAGTTAGGTTCAATAAAATTTTCTTAGAATATCATTTTCTAATTTTTCTAGATAACGTTATATCCATCGAATATTTCATATAATGGAATCTCAGAGTTATGATGTTGATTCAACAACAGTTGGATGGAATAAAAGTCCAGTAATGGATCATTCATCACGATTTGATCCTAATGAAACTCCAACAGTTAATTCAACAAATCCAAATTATCATCCATCATCATCAACAACAACACATAATTCAGTTACTGAAACAGCTGCTAACAAGGCCACAGCAGAATTAAAAAAAGGTCAACATCATGCAGAAGATATTATTACAAAGTCAAAAAGACTTATGAAACAACAATGTAAGTTAAGGAATTTTATTTCTTTTAAAATATTCATTAAAAAAAATAATTAGTCAGTATCAATTAATAACAAAATTTTGCTATTATCTTTCTTATTGGTGAATATTAATATGTATAAAATCTTTTTCAATCAGACGAGAAAAAAAATCTTAGTGTATACATATTTTTCTTTTATTTCATAGCAAGATCTAAAGTCCTAAATAAATGCGTGCTACATATCGTGATTTTTGTGTGATAATTTCTTTATTATCAACATACGCTATTACTTGTAGGATAAGTACAACCAAGGAGAAGAAGAAGAAGGAAAAAGAACAAGCACTTTATGAAAATATATAGGAAATAGACAGGAAAACCACACACATATATATATATCCATCGATATGTATGACATATGAGTATATGGATGTCTTATTTCTTTGACCGAGAGAGAAGAAAGAAAAAAAGAATGGATAAAAACTCACGAGATCATATTTACATGTTTTTCTTCTTTTTTTCCCGATATAAACAAAATATTATTTTATTTTTAGGGGAAGAAACTCGTCATTCAGTTATTCATTTACAAAAAAGAATGAAAGAAATGGTACCAAAAGAAGGTATAAATATCTTAATTAATATTCTTCATTTACAAAAAATATATAATTATTCTTATTAATTCTAGCAAGTAATCTTATTTATTGGCAAAATCCTATTCAATCGGGCATTGTCTTTGGTGTTTTATTATCTATAATTATAACATTTATGTTTTTATCATCATTGGCTGCCATATCATTTTGGTTACTTGCACTTCTTGTCGTTATTGGTCTTTATAAATTGTATAATTATGTCATGGCAACATTTGTTGGTCGAGTTCAAGATGATATTTTCGAGTAAGAAAAATAAAGAAACTTTTTTGTTTTGAATAAAATTATTCAATTTTAGTTCAATCTTTTCATCTGATGTTCATATTTCTGAACGTCATGCTCAAGCTATGGCTAATTATATTCGTACAAATGGTACAAGTATAATAAGACAAGCACGACGCGTTTTCTTATGGAATAATTTAACGACTTCAATTATTGTAAATAATTTTTGAAATTTTTATTTTTATTTTTAAATATCATTGAATTTTAGTTTGGTCTTATTCTTTTCGCTTCTTTTTACATTGGTTTATCAATGAATACACTTACATTTGCACTTGTTGGTTTAGTCTTTTTATTTACTGTACCAAAAATTTATCAAGTTTATCAAGTAAAAATTTCTTCTTTCTTTTCTGAGGAACAAAAGCTCAATTTTCTTATTTTTAGGTACCAATTGATCATGTTGCTAAACAAGTTCTTGACCAAATTAATCAAGTTTTAGCTAAGTAAGTTTAAATATCTTTTTAAGTATATGTATATATTAATTATTACTTTTTATTCTAGAGTAACAACAAAAGCACCAGCAGCAGCAGCAGGAGCAAAACCAAAAAAATCTTAAATTATGATTCAAACAAACAGTTCTATTTAGGTTTTATTAAATCTTTTTTTTCTTTTCACATCTAGTCTATTGTGTGCTAATTTCATTAGGCATGGAATGCATCTACATTTTGCTCTGATTTCCTACGTTTTTATATTCTTTATGTTGTGTGTTTGTTTATTTCTTATACAACATGACAAAAAAAAAAACAAGAAAAAAATATATAATTGAACCTTGTGCAAAGCATCTTCCTTATATATGTGTGTGTGGTAGTTACAGTAGAGATTTGGATATTCTTTTCTGCATTTTTTTTTAACAACGCGTAGTTTTTATATGAATTCTCCTGATAAAAAAAAATAAAGATCGATTCTATTTGTCATGAATGTGAAAACAACAATAAATCAGATGAATGTCTTTTATTAAACATATAAACTTTCAAAAAGTTTAGTCGTGAAAATATGCACATGTACATCAAATCTAGAAAAAATAATAAATAAAACATATGTTAGTAGTTTACATGTTATGCGAAGGTCGAAGTTCTTCGTATGTAGGTGATAAAGAAGAACTTTAGGGGAATCTTCATGATGAAAGGAAATAAACAAATATATGTACGTTATTTTAACCTTTAATGAATAAAATTTTTGTTTAGAGTCGGAATCAGTCTTAAAATTACTGTGTATATACAAATGGACGAAAAGTATTTTCTCGAGATTTAACTATATTTTATCATAACATTACAGAAACAACTAAGTATTTTGCTTAATATAGAAAGACAACAAGTTATGTTAAATATAAGGAAAAGTGAAACGCACGTTCTCGAGATGTTTTTGTACATATACATATATCGAATTTCTCTATCTTTGTCATTCCTTCTTCTTCTTCTTCTTTTCCTTTTCTCTCGTTCTCTCTTTCTGCTGATTATCTACTATTTATTCTTATAGGCACACCCTAGAAAAACACGTTAATCGTTCAGACATATTTACATGTCATTCAATACTAAACTTTGTTTTATATTTATCGGAACGAATTTCTCGACTACAGAATTTTCCATCTTTAAATACTATTCATGTAGTTTTTACTGGTTAACCCTTGTAGTATCACCCACTTTTTTACATTTTATAGGACCGAGAATGAGCTCTAGAAACGAATTTTATATGGTCTCTCGTCCCATGTGAAAATCGTCCTTTTACTCTAAAATTTATTGTTCGTTTCTTTCTCAAACCTCTGTCCATCGTTATCACTTTGTATTCCCTCACATATATCCTATACTCACTCATACTACAAACTATGCAGCAATCTTGCCGTACACTTGTTCATAAAAATTATAAAATAATAAAAAATTTCCTCCTATTCTTAAATTTACCACAACCAGGGTCATTTTTGACCCTGGTTAGTACTACTAGGGCTATTTATTTACATGTCTTATCTTATCTTATTTTCGAAAACATATGTTTATAAAATTTACTCTTTGACATCTAAGTGTACATATGTAAAGAGACATGTGCGTCTCACATATATCTTATTTATAGATCATATTTCTTCTTGTTCATTTAAACAATGTTCGGCATTCAAACTCTTGCATGTTTGCATGATATACCAGGTGAGAAAAATACAAATATTCATTTATTTCTTATCTCTTTTTTTTTGATAAAAGTTGTTCGTTCATCGACTAATAAACTTCAAGATGTCTATGTTCAAGCTAAGAAGAAAAGTGCACTTATTCGACTTCCATGTATGTTAGCCGAAACAGTTGCTGATAAATCACTTAAAATTGCTGTTAGTGTTACCAATCCAATTATGAAACCATTACGTGGACCTGGTAAAATATCATTTAAAAAGTTTAATTCATTTTTTTTAAATTTTTTAATTAGTACGTGTTATTGATGATTTTACTGTTGAAAAAATTCGTCAAATCGAAGCTAAATATCCTGTTATTAATACATCTACTAAAGATGTTATGAATACATTGAACGAAAAAACTGAACCTGTTCGTAATGTAATGAATACTGTTAAAGATACAACTACATCAACTATTCAACATGGCAAAGAAACAGTAAATTTATTTTTTCGATATTCTTCTATTTATTATTTATTTGTTTTTTCTTCTAGGTTTCTAATGTCAAAAATGCAACAGTAAATAAAGCAACAAATGTTGCTGATAGTGTTTATACATTTTGTGAAACTCATGTACCAGGAAGTAAGATAAATTCTATGTCATAAATGTAATCAATAATTTATTTTGTTATATTAGAAACAGTTCCTGTTCATCGTCGAGATTTTGGACAACGAACAACACTTTTATGGGAACGTATCAAATCGATAATTAGTTATCAAGCTGATTATATGTATCAATCAATTGAATTTTTAGTAACATGGTATCGAATGTTGATTGTATCATTTTTACTTAAAATAAAACAAACCAATGATACTATACTTAATAAATTGAATCATAGATCATTATTCTTTGTATTACCACATCGATTATTAATTATTACCGGTATGTTACTTGAATATATGATGACACGTTTCCGTCCAGAAAATCGTACAGAAACAAAACCACAATCTCGGTCAGTACAACAGAAACAATTTGTTAGCCGGTAAAGACAGAATTTATAAAATATGTAATCTTGATTTGTTTTCTTTTCAAAAAAAAAATAGACAAACATTAAAACCTGGTGCACTTGTTACTACACGTCAAAGTGTGGTTGTAACAAAACAAGAAACATCGGTGACTTGTAATGGTGTAACAAAATCTGATTTTAATAAAGAAGAATTATATCCTCGTTTACCTGTTAATCATATTGAACCCGTTCTTGGTAATGATATTGATAAATTACATAATAAACTTCATCCAACCGATACTGAACTTCTTTATTCTCGATTACCTGCTGATGTTATATCAATGACAAATAATTTTGAACCTTTAACAGAAGATCAACGAATGCTTCATGCACAAATTATTGCTGCTGATTTAGAAAAAGAAGTTTACGCACAAGAAGAAGACGAAGACTACTATGTTCAATAAAACAAATTATCTTTGATTCTCTCTTCTTTTCTTTTTATCATTATTTTTTCGTGTTATTTCTTCGCTTTTTTTTGACATCTTTTCATTTATGTTGTTATATGTGTATTTTTATCATCATTCCATGATCTAGAGTTAGTGTTTGTTAAACAATCATACTTGTGATCAATGGTGTTTAATTTTTCTTCCTTTTTTTTATAGTGTCAGAGAGAGAGAGAAAAAAAATAAACAAGAAAAGTATAAAATAGATAGAGAAGATTTTATTGCATCTTGCAGATGCACAATATACAAGTATTTGCAATAGTTTTATTTTGTTTGAGAGGGTGTGGGTTTGTACGGCTGTAAACTATTAGTAGATACACACCCGCACCCACACCCACGCCCTGATTTCCGTATACACTTTTTGCAGTATACATAACTCTCGGATAAAATCCGAAGTTTCCGCATTTATTATATTATTTCAATGATGTTATTTTTAGTGATTATTTGAAACCTTTCAGAATATCGACGAATATGCTTCTAATACACTCATTATTTACACTCTTCGTTTTTTCGATCGGATTCTTAATGTAATCTATAAAGTACATAATGTAAGCGTGATGAATAATAATGATATGCCGAATGAAATATTTAGTTATTCTACTTTTTCATTTAATGGACTGCATCGATATTAATACTATCTTTTTTTATATAGTTTAATAATGATCGTTGGTAGTATGTGTATCCAAATCTATGAAACTAATTCACGACATACTGATTATTCGAGCAACAAACACTCTGATTTTTAGATAAAATCTTTCCTCTATTGACATAGTAACATGCACAGATGTCTACTCGCCGAAGATAGAAACAACTAGATAATGTCTATTATTTTTAGATTTTATGTAAAATTACAACGATATGTATTCAATGATAATATTAAAATGAATTACACATACGATAAATACAAAAGCGGAAAAAAGAGACTATTTATTAATACGATATTTTTGTTCATTCTATTTGATGTAAGACTTATGGAATATATTATATTATTCAAACGAAAATAAGTCTATTATAGATCGTAATTTGACTATCAATTGCTTCTTAATTTGTGATAAATAATTCTTGCTAAAATATACATTCCTAGTATTGTAATATATTAACAAGTAATTGTATTATTCAAGGTCATTATGTAATATTTGATATATACAGTTGACTCTGTTCCTTCATTTACAATGGACTTTATGATTATTATAGGACAAATATGCACAATATTTTTTTATATTCTGCATTCAATAAACGTAGTTTTTTTTATTGAATATCAACCGATGATGTATAAATATTCACTTGTTCTATAATCAATACTGTCGTAGGAGGAATGACAATAATAAATATATTTTTTATTGATACGAGCTTTGACAGGTTTAGAAGTACTTTCTCAGCATATATTGATATACGAAAATAATAAATTTCGTTTTATAAGATTTATTAGTATTCATCTTATCTACTCAAAACTGAAGATAATAGTAGAAAAAAAGTCTATCATCGAACTAATTCCATTATTGACCTCTTACATAAACAGTTTATAATACAAAGTCTTTCACAATATGCACAGTGTGTAATAAGTAAATTTATGAATACTCCAGTCATTATATGTTGAAAATTATATGATATTTATTAATAATTCTGTATAGAAAAAAAACGACTGAGTATATTTCACTATCAGTAATAAAAGAACAAATCATTTGTACATAGAAAAAAGATAACTAAATTCACTGGTACAAATGAAAAATAGTATATAATTAAAATAAGCCATGCAGTAGAGAGAAAGTGTTTTTTTGTATATGTATATATATATTCTTCTTCGATAAACTTATTCCTTATTATTACGTTGAATTTGTTCCATAAGATAATCATAAAATTCTCGACGATCATTTTGTTGTTCTTCACTGCTGTTACTATCATTATCAAGTAATTCACGTAAACTCATTTTATGACCAGGCTTTTTTGGGGCGACATGTTTTCCGCCATGTTTTTTGCCTGGGATGACACATTTATTTTTGCAAGTTTTAGCAGCTTCTTTAATTGTTTTGCCTTTGCCGCGAGATGGAAATCGTTCTTTATGAACGCATTCAATTTCACATTTTGTTTCTTTTTTAACTTGTCGTTTGCTAAATGAAGAATCTTCATCATCATCTTCATCTAAATAAAAAAAACAGAATGAATTGATATAAATAAAAGGTGTATTATTTTATTTTTCTTTGCAAACCTGATGAAACTGATCGTTCCATTTGTTCATTACTGTCTTGTTCATCCTCAAGTTCATTTAAAAGTGAACGGAGTTTTAATTCTAAACCATTGTTGTTTTCTTCATCATCTGCCGTTATATCACGAAGTGATGGATAACTAGCAGCATAAGCGATGAATAAAAGAAGTACTAAAAATATTTAAATAAATTGGTTAGTTTTGAAAATATTTTTGTCTATGAAAATACCTGCGAGTGCGATACGCATTATGAAATAAAGATAGAAAGAGTTTTGAGTGTCGTATGAAATCTTTGTATCAGCTTTTATATAGCTTTCTCTTTTTCTATAAGGTTATTTATATAAATTCTTTTCCTTTCTCTTTCGTACTGTTCTTTTCTCTTTCTATTGACAATAGCATGGCAAATATCAGACAAAAAAAGCAATGGAAAACTGTTTTATACGCATTTTATCAACAGAACAATAATATAACTTGATGATACGATAGAGGTCATATGAATAATTCTTTTTTCGCAATATCAATGAAAACTAATAGAAAAATATGAGTAAATTCATACAGATACTCAAAGCCTACTGCTTTTGTTGATATTAAATTATATACATGATAGAGTGGCTGTTGATAGAAAAAGTGGGTATGCCTATCATTCATTTAATTGGAGCACTTGATATAATATTAACGAGTATGATGAAAACTTTTAACGTTATCTATTTATAGTCGAAAGTTATCAACAACTTGATAAAATATCTATAGATATACTTGTTGATCGTTTTAGATAACAGAATTTGAAAACGACTTAGAGCATTCCAATAGTAGGAGTAACGATATTTTGTAATATTGAATAGTAATCTTGAAGAAACTTTCTTTTTTTTCCTATGCTTTTCAATTATTTCATATACTATATTAGAAAAAAATAAAATACGGCGTGAAAAACTCTAGAATCGATCAGTGTGGCCGTCCGTCCGTTTACTTGATAGCTTTCGAAAGGAGAGACAGATTTTGATGAAGTTTTCTACACAGTTCAGTCTCATCAAGATCTCGGTCGAGTTAGAAGTTGAGCCATTCTTGAGTTATTGCAAAAATACTGATATTTCCCTATGATTTTCATATACACTTTTTTCAGTACACATAACTATCGGATAAAATTCGAAGTTTCCGCATTTATTTAATATAATGTATTAGGTGATTGAAATGTAAAGCATAACTATTAATCAGTTTCACTTACCAGAGAAGTTTTACATAAAAACAGTTCTTATCAAAATTTTAAGCATAGAAAAGAAGAAAATTTCTTCAAGATTACTACGCAGGTATTAAAATATCATTATTACTATTTTTGGAATGCCCGAAGTATATGAATCATAAAATATAGTAAATAGATTTTATAATTAAATATTGACATGAAACAGTTCATAAGTATATTTTACTGATACAAATTTATCTATACTACGATTATTTTTAAATTTATTAGATAACAAATATAACTTGTACATGAATATGGTCCGTTTTATAGTCTCGTATTTATTATGCTAAAAATATTTATATTGAGAGTTCAATATGGTAATGTTTAATAATATAAGCAATGAAACTAATTTTTCTTAATGAAAATATGATGGTTAAGGTAATTATTTGATGAAGAAGTAAAAAAGATTTTTTTAAAATATACTAATATGAAATCATAAAAGAATAAATCGTGAAATACAAATCGAGTGCATATAAATATGAAATTGAAATTATATAAAAATCATTTGTTTATTATGAAATCAAATTTTATAAATATTTTTTCGATGGTATCTTATAAAATATTTTATTAATCATATTCCATCTTTAAGCATAAAGATTGTACATTCAAACAAATATAATGGTCTGAAAATCATATACAACGATTAATGTAATAATTGTTATTGATACCATTAGGATAAAACTTGAAATATTATCGATCTAATTTAAAATTTCTTATGATGATATTACACTTTTGGATAAATACAAGTATTGTGTAGTAGATTTCGGATTACTACACTTGGTACTTTATTCTATTCTCCTATAACTTTTAGACTAGTTATCTATGGCTAATTATATAGTAATAATATATATCCAATAGAGATTAATACATTAATAAAGTAGAAAAATCTGTTTTATCCCAAATTTTGCCAAAGCTTCTGAAATGCTTCAACATTATTATAGAATATTCTATGAGAATTAAATAAAACACTGTTATATCGTTCTATACACATAGAATTCTAATACAATAATGGATTGTTCTTAATTCTGTCAAATACATGTCAAAAATTATCGTAAATTGCTAGACCACATTATATATTTGATCGATCGGAATTAATAAAATACAATCAGCAGTAGAACTTTTCTTATTCTTTTGTAATAATATATAAAAGTACCATAGGATAAAAGCTAAACTATTCCATGGAATTGAATTACACGTATGTGACATTGAAACCGAATGTATATAAAAGAATAAAAAAATACTGGTGAATAAAAGAAAAAAAAGTACATATATTTGATTGATATTTCATAGGTTCCAATGAATGATTGAGTTATTAATACTTTGGCAAAGAAATATTAAGAGACCTTTTGATATTTATTTTGCTTGATTTAATCTCGTACAACGAATAGTAAGTACTTGTACAGATAAAAATATCTTTGAAACGAGATTAATTATATCGTAAAAAAGATCTGATTTGATTCTGATACAAATATACAACTCATTATCAAACAAGGCGCATATGGTATCGGAAATTAAAAGCAAATAGATAGATGAAAAAATAATCGAGAATGTGCTATATACTTCAACAAATACGAAATTCAAACACCTGTTTGTTATGTATAATGTTTCCTACTAGATTCAGTTACATAATGCATATTAACAACTACCATATTCTTTGTTTTCTCATTTGGTATCCATGAACTTAAATAAAATCATGTATCTTTCACTTTTTTCTCTCTATGTTCATCCAGAATCGTAAATTTCAACTGGAAATGGTAAGTGTTTATTATAACTATTTACCAAAGCTATAAAACGAAAGTTCACAGTATTGACAATTATTCTACGTAATCATTGTAAAAAATCGATATGTACTAGGGGTGTTACTTTATCTATACTTTATAAATAAAAATAAAGTAACACCCCTAATATATACGACTGATGAAGAAAAAAACGATAAGTATGTAATTCATCAGACAGTTATTCTTTCTATTAAATTATTCTTATTCGATAGAGTGAAAAACATATTTTAAATTAAATCAAATGAAAGTATTTAATACTGTCCTTGGGTATACATCGTTTAAAAAATATCTGAACATATGTCGGTAATATAACTGAAGTTTTATTTACAGCAGTCATCTTCATTCATAGCAGCAATATACTAAAAGATAAGCAGATGTTGTTAGTATGCAGGTTAGTTAAGTTATATGTGTACAATATCTATTCTCAATAATTCCAACGATTATTTATATATTGATGTTTTTGAAAGGAGCATTAATTTCTTGGTATAAACATATCATTCTTATCTTGTTTTGTATTTTGTCCAAATCAATTTTGTAGTTTCGTCGCCACGTTAAAAAAGTCCCTTTGAACAAGCCAAGGAAAAGACAGTTTAGAAGACTTTATGAAAAGTATTTTTTCAGCATTTATGTACATGTTAATATCTAAGTTTTTTTTTATTACGACGAATATTTTGCTTCCGTCATCTAAACAGCGTGTCAGTTCTGAGTTGGACAAGTCATCAGAAAAAAACTGCTAAAAAAGAGTAGTTAATAAAAATGCTTTCTGTATAAAGAAGTGACTTGAGATTACTTTAATGCTTCTTTGTGGCATGATGTGAAGAAACTTGTTAGATTTTCTTCGCGAAAATATTCGCTTTAGCGTTCATAGGACCTAACTAATGCGGCACGTATTCAAATAAATTGCACATGAAGGAGATTTTTCTAAAAAAAAAACATCTTCGGTAGAAACTCAGTATCCACTACCCCATACTTTGCTTCGTTTGTACACTTTTTTCTAGAAATGCTGATACATTCTTATCATGAAAGATCTTATTCATTATTTGAAAAATATATCTCTGAAGACATTCAACAAGATATGTTTTACAAAATACTTCTCATATGTTTGAGAACATATATCTTTTCGTATAAAAATGCCTATTGCTAATATTTTTTACTTTTACGATATCCCTTGTAATTTTCGAGATGTAGTATTTTTTATTCCATTCAAATCAATTACTTATATGTTTAGATATCCTTTTTATTGGTTTTGGCATTGAATCTTATCAATAAATCTTGTCAAAATTGTTCGAATATGAACACTAAACATCAATTTTAAATAAGCTATGTATAATATTTTATACAAAAAGATTCATCGCGAATATTCTTATATAGTTCTAAGTGCGTAAAAATGTTATTTTAATAAACGTTGAAACATATCTGTATAAATACAGTGAAGTTTATCTAAGTATAATATAATCAGCTTTAGTAGCCCCCATAAACGTCAGAATAACACTACTTGCACGAGATACTTATCATATTTTAGAGTGAATATATATTTCACAGTATGCCACTCAATGACATACAAAGGAAGTACTTTTCTTATAAAAAATTGAGATTTTTCTGTATTACTAATCGTATGATTTACATATATATATATGATTGTTGGTAGCTGTTATAATATTAGTATGTATGCTTGAATAAATCGTAATCGTATTTCTATAGAACATGAATAAACTATCATAATGAATTCGTTTTATACAGTGCTTGTTTATATTACTCTACGTTCTATCAAGATCTCAACGAAGAATATGCCTGTATCCTTTTATTCAGTAGGAATTACTAGAAAAATTATTAGTCTGCCACCAAACACCATGAATTAAATCTGATCTCTTTTAATAAGTATGTCCTGCTGAATAAACTGTTTACTATCACTAGAAATTCCTTTTTCCTCATACATCAGTGCAAATAAACTAAGTAAATATTTTAACAATAGATGTGAACAAACATAAATTGTCGTAGAGAAAGAAGGATTTTGTAATTATCAATATTGTTCGTTTGAAGTATTGTTAGCATAGAAGAAAAGTTAAACATGTGTTAACCATTTCTCAAGTTTCTTTTCTTTCTAGAGAAAAAACAGAAGCTCGACGGCAATACATCCATATCAAAAGGGACCATAAAAAGTAACGGTTAGAATATGACAACCTTTGCTCCAGAAGTTTGACTTCTGCTTTCCGCAGAAAAGAATTAGTTTTCT